TCATAGAATCATCACAAAATCATAGGATGGTTTGGGTTGGAAGGGACCTTAAAGCTCATCCCATTCCACCCCTTTGCCATGGGCAGAACATCTTCCACTATCCCAGTTTTCTCCAAACCCCGTCCAACCTGGCCTTGGACACTTCCAGGCATGGGGCAGCCACAGCTGCTCTGAGTGATGTTAAAAGGGATGCTGCGTTTTGCTACAGTGCCATGATGACTAATTATGGCTTAAAAACAGATTTTAATCTGTGGGGATACTGAAAGAGCCCCAACACCCCTGGGTTTAGGGAAGGGGGGCTCAGTTTTCAGCTGAATCTTGAGCGTTGGGGTGAGGATTGAGAAGCAGCTGGAAAAGCACAGACAGAGAAGGAAAGTTGGGTTTTCCCTCTTTGGGGTGAGGATTGAGCAGTTGGAAAAGCACAGACGGAGAAGGAAAGTTGGGGGTTCCCTCTTTGGGGTGAGGATTGAGCAGAAAAGCACAGATGGAGAAGGGAAGTTGGGGTTTCCCTCTTTGGGGTGAGGATTGAGCAGTTGGAAAAGCACAGACAGAGAAGGAAAGTTGGGGTTTCCCTCTTTGGGGTGAGGATTGAGCAGTTGGAAAAGCACAGATGGAGAAGGAAAGTTGGGGTTTCTCTCTTTGGGGTGAGGATTGAGCAGTCAGAAAAGCACAGCCGGAGAAGGAAAGTTGGGGGTTCCCTCTTTGGGGTCAGCCGTGGCACAGCACCGCAGTGGTTAATGCTCGCTGCCACCCTGCGAGGAGCAGGAACGCGCTGGCTCCGGCACAAAAGCGGCGATGACAATGTCCCTGCGGGCAGGACGCGATGCCGGGGGTTGGTCGGGACAGGGCGGCGGAGGGGCCATCTGTCAGCCCTGCCCCGCTGGAGAGAGGGGAGGGCCCGTGGGGACAAAAGGCGACATTATTCGCTGCTTCAGGAGGGATGAATGGAGTATTGAAAGCCACCACCTCAGCGAGTAGATTGGTTTTCAGCCCCCATCACTGAGCTGTCTGTCCGCTGGTGAGGTTTGGTCAGCAGGAGTCGAGCAGAGATCAGGGAGATGTAACGGGGCTGTCTCCCATCCACACCGGCTCCTTCCTGCACCTCCATCACTTCTTGCTGGTGCACAGAAAACCCTTTGGTCCACCACCATCTCTCCCTAGTGAAGGCAACGAAATCCAAGCTTTGGTCTGGAGGTTCTGGAGCCGCCCCAGCCCATGGTCTGGAGGAGCCTTGGCTGGGTGGACAACAGCACATGGTCCTACCTGGGAGCTCTTCCCATGCCACGTGGAAAACCAGGAGCAGGAAAAGGCTGGATGAGGGGTTTCCATGGGAAGGAGGGGTTAGTCACTGATACACTGGATTTCAATGGCCTTCCCCAAGCAGATGCCTGAAGCAGCAGCAGTCATTGTGCATCCCTTCAGGAGCTCCCTTCAGGAGTTGACGTGCCCCGTGGGGGCTGGAGGGACTAATTTTAGGCTCGGCTGAGCTAAGGCTGGCAGCCCAGCTTTGGAGCCGGCGTGCGGGAGCATCCTCACGATGGCACTGCTCCCCCAGCGCACGGTGCCGCCAGCCCGGCTGCTGGGACCGCGGGATGGGCTCTGGGCTCCCAGAGGGATCCCGGCCAGCAGGACCAGCACCATGCCCCTCCCAGAGAGCCTGCAGGTGACAGAGAGCTGGGAATCCACCCCCTCGGCACTGAGCAGTAAATGAGGTGGAAATGGAATCTTGAGATGCTGAATCTCTTCCTCATTTTCTGCTGATATTCCCTGTTGCTGAGTTTTACCTCGCTGGTAGGATATGGCCCTTCAGATTCATCTTGCCACTCAAAAAAAATAGCTTATTCTCAATGAATCCAGCTGGAATTACTTTTCATGTGTCTTCTGGTCACTGCTCCTGGAAATACTGAGGAGGGGCACGTTCACAGGCCCTTGGTGACCACAGGCTCTCCTGGCCACCACCACTAACACTGCTGTCTGCATGTTTCAGGGAAGCGACCTCTGGAAATTCACCTGCAGCAGGACTGACAAGCAGCAATGACACTCGGTCCCTGTCCAGACACCCGGCACGGCACAAGGAGGCCGGACAACGATGTGCTGCCTCTCTCCTTGATGCCACCCACACTCCTTATCCTCCTCGTTCTCCTCAGCCCCACCGGTGAGCTCCTACCTGGGGCAGTGGGAGGGGTTTTAGGCACCCGTGATCCCTCTCCATCTCTCAGATTTGTGGGCAGATTTTCTCCAGGCACAGGATTATTGTGGTGTCCCCTCCAGCGCTGAGTGTGCACAGGGATGGAAGGAGCAAGTTCAGCTCTTATGTCCCACTGTGACCTGGCTGTGATGACAAGCCCAGTGTGAGGACAGGCAGGGGAATGGGGCAGGCAGCTGCCAGTACTGGTGACAGAGCAGGGCTGGGCTCCCATGGGAGCAGGCAGCAGGCAGCACCCATGGGGAGATGCTGACGGCCAAGGGATGCTCCTGGAGTTGCTCCCCAGGACCTGTGGGACCAGTCCTGCCAAGGAAACGGGTGGAACGAGCACCCATCTCCTGAGAACAACAGTCTCTACTCACTCCTGGCAGGCAGTGTTCCAGCCAGGATGGGAAGCATTTCAATAGACCCGGGAAAAGCCATTCACACTCTGGAACGCCAGTCCACACGGGCGCGGTGGCAGCGCAGTTATCCCAGCGTGACTCTATCCCTGCAATTACAGCCAGGCACTGGGGAACGCGTCCCTGCCTCAGCAAACCCGCGCCAAGGCACAGCCAGCCAGAACACTGGGAATTCAGACGTAGTCAGACATCCTAATTGAGTTAAATGGGGTTTTACCTCCCCACCCCCTCAGCTGGTGCTTCCCTTCCCCCTCGGGATGCTGTGGCAGCATCCGAGCTCACACTCCGGCTGTGGGGACCCTGTCACAGTCCCCTGCATCGCCTGGTTCTCCTGGTCCTCTTCCTTAATGGGCACAGATCAGTCGCTAAGGAAGGGCCATTTGTCCTCTCGTTGGGTGGTTTTGGTTAGCAGCGGTGTTTACTCTTCCCTTTTGCTTTTGACTTTGTGAAGCTGGATCAGAGAAACATGGAGGGCTCTATCTCTTCTCAAAAAGACAGTTCCTTATTATTGTAGACACACCAGGCATATTCTGTTCAGATCTCTCCTGACTTTGCTGGAGGATGCTCTTAAATGAATATTTCAGAGCTTTGATTTTGACTTAAAGGGAGATGAATATTTATCAATGTCCTTTTTATCCACTGCTTTTTTGGCACTGGAGCGGACTAGGTGTTAAAAATCAATACAAGCCAGGATCAAACACTCTTCCTAGAAACCCTCGTGCCTCCCCATTTTTGGTGCAGGGGTGAGCTGTTGTGTCCTTCCCTGTCCTCTCCTGCAGAGCCTCTCTGCTCCTGTGTTCTCACCTGTTTAATCCCCAATTCTTGCTGGAACCACAGCATCCCTTTCCATGCCTGGTCCAGCTGAGCAGGGCAGGAGCACCGACCACGCTGGAGCTCTCTGGCTGCTGATGTTCATCCCAGCATCCCTGCTAAGTCATGGATACAGGCAGACAGTTACCTTATTCTCCTTTCTCCTGGAGCTTCTAGGTTTTTCTTTGACAGCCCTGATTTCTGGCTGACTTAATGGTCTCCCAGGCAACGTCCTAGCAAGGAAAAGGGAGGTGGGTTCATCTGCTCCTCTGTCCCCCCAGGCTCACACTGCTTCTCACGGCGGTGACATCCGCCTCCGGAGCAGCTGGGATTGACCCTCACGTCACTGCTGTGGGCTGAGCGTGAAGCAAGGCAGGGCTGGTCTGAGGCAGTGGGAGGAAAAGAGGCCACAGAGGCACCAGAGGTGTTGATCAGCCCTTGGGTGCTGTAATTAGCATGGAGGCATCATAGAATCATGGAATGGTTTGGGTTGGAAAGCGACTTTAAAATTTATCTCGTTCCAAAGCCCCTGCCATGAGCAGTGACACCTTCCACTAGGTTTGTAAGGATTTTGGAAGGTGTCACCCACAGGAGAGGGTTGTGCAGCCAGAGCATCGAGCCCAGGAGACCTCAGATGCCCAAGGAGATCTGTGCTGGGCTCCAGCATTGGACAAGTGCTTGTGGACTGGGGCGTCTACGAGGTCCAGGCACCCATCCCCATCCACCATCCCCCAGGGCATCATGATCATGTTGCTGTGACCTCCTGGACAAGCTGGAGCCCATAGTGACCCAGGGAGGATCCCACATCACTTAGCAGAGGGATTTTGTGCCCAAATAATGCCCAGAAGTGAGAGGGAGTTCAAGAGATGAGGACATATCCTGCATCCTTCAAGTGTTCACCTCCCTCTGGAGGAGGTTTCCCTCCCTCTGGATGGGGTTCACCCCCTAGGGTGGCTGCACCCCACCAGTGGGTGTGTTGGTACTTGCATGTAGGTATGGAGCTTCCAAAAAGTGGATTTTGTTGGGGAAATGAAATAAAAAATAAATTAAAATGCACACAGGTTGCAGCATCTTCCATCAGGAGATCTCCAGTGGGTTTCTCAAGCTGGGCAGGATGGATTTTCTTAGTTCCCATCTCACCACCCAAGTTTTCAATGGGGGTGGTGGGGCAGGAGGATGCAGGAGCTGCCCAAGGCCCACAGCAAGGCAGCAATGGAGCCAGGGACGGACAAAAAGGTCCTCAAGACCTGGCCCAAGACAGGATCCACCTGGAGTGGCTTCTGCTAGCCATTGGGCTCATTAGGGTCACACATGTCACCTTGTGTTTCACAGTCCCACCAGAGTCACAGTCGCTCATATGCTGCCTCAGTTTCCCCACCTGTGAAGTAGATGAAGTGATGACCTGGGGAAGGGTGTTCATTTTCCCTGTACAAACTCCAGGACTTTGCAGGAAAGGGAAAGATCCAAGGGCTGCTGGGTCCTGCCAGTCTCCACCACCCCCATCCCATCCCTGCTGCCATCACTCTCCAAGCTGCACCTCTTCCTCTCTCAGGAGAGCTGATCCCTCCTTTTCTCCCTTGCAGGCACCACCTCTGAGCCCGAGATGTTGCCATTCCCAGGTGAGATTCTTCTCTGAAAATCACTTTTTTCCAGGAACATTTTTTAGTTGAAAAATGTGTTTTTAGGTAAAAGAAGGGATTTGGGGAATTTAAAAAAGGAAAGATATTGGTTTGTAACAAAAAGTGGCAAGAAGAAGCTAAACTTCTTTTACAGAAAGAAAATAAAGATTCTTTATTATACCTATTCCTCTAATCATCCTGAGAGGAGAATTTTGCCACCTCCTGCTGAGTCCTGTCCCTGTGCCAGGCATCACACACAAATAAATAATTCCCTTGATGTGGTAGACCCTGGGCGCTTCCACACCTGCTCCCCATTGCCAGCAGCCTGAGAGATCATCTCCATACCACTGCTCCCATGTGGGACCAGCTCTGGATGCATTCCTTGAGGCTAATAAGAATTTGCTAATTGTCACTTGTCACCTAAGTCAACATGTGGTGCCACGTGTCTGCTTTTCCCTTCACCACTGGGTTTTTGTCCATTAGCAGGTGAGATGATGGGAGCATCACAGAGCCACAGAATGGTTTGGGTTGGAAGGGACCTTAAAAACCATCTCATTCCACCCCTGCCATGGGCAGGGACACCTTCCACTAGACCAGGCTGTCCAAAGCCCCATCCAGCCTGACCTTGGTGATGGTGCATCTCATTCCTGGACTGAGATGGGCTGTGTCTCCACAGCCACTGCTGCCAGCAGATGACGGGGAGCCCGTGTCCCACCAGCAGGTGGGCAGCACCAAGCCAACAACTCACTGTGCTACAGAGAAGGGGCAGGATTTTATCTAAGGAGCAGGAGTTTGATGTAGATTTGCTCCCCATGGCCTGCTGAGGGACCTCTCTGTTCCCATCCTCCCAGAGATCCGCCTCGCCAACGGGCCCAGCCGGTGCCAGGGGCGAGTGGAGATCCTCTACAACGGCTCCTGGGGCACGGTCTGTGACGACGACTGGGACATCGTGGATGCCAACGTGGTGTGTCGCCAGCTGGGCTGTGGCCATGCCATCACCCTCCCAGCCGCCATGACCTTCGGCCAGGGCAGTGGGCCCATCTTCCTGGACAACGTGGACTGCAAGGGCTCGGAGGCAGCCCTGAGCGAGTGCTGGAGCCATGGCTGGGGCATCCACAACTGCTACCACTACGAGGACGTGGCTGTTGTGTGCAACGGTAACGAGGTTGGGTTCCTTGGGGGCAAACACAGCGTGCCCCCACTCCTGTGGAGTGCAAGACTTGGGGGTTGCAGGGGCCTTGGTAGAGCCTTATTTCAGAGGCTGGCTCTCTGACCTGGGTCAGCCACATATCCTCTGCATCCTCCTCTCACCCCTCTCCTCAATCCAGGTCACTTCCCAGCTCCATGGGCTGGTGCTCCATAAGGTGACCAGCCTGTTTTGTGTTCCTTGTCACTCCCAGATCAGGACTTTGCGCCCTCTCCAGCATGATCCCTGGGGAAAGAGCACATGCCTACCCACGCTCCTGCCTCTGAGTCAGTTGCTGCCCAGCTGCTCTTTCCCCTTTTGACTTGTGTTTCTTTAAATTGCTGAGCTTTTCAGTAGGAGATGTTCCTAAAGGTGAGAAAAGCAGCGGAAAGTGTTTGAACTTGGCAAGTGAAAGTGGAACGGCTCCGTGACGGCCCTTATGTACCCCACACACGTTCCTCCCTCGCTGTGCAAGGTTTGCTCATCAGCCAGGCATCAGTGAGCTGTGAAAGTGAGGCTGTGCAGACCTGGAGCAGCTGTTCCGTGAATCCCCACGTCCTGCAGAAGCAGGGCTTGGAAAAGGAGGGATGGAAAGGCAGGGATGCTGGGTTGGCTGGTAGGTTGTACCAACAGCAACCAGAGAACAGAGGTTGTGGATTGAGCAGGAAACTAAATCATGGCATTGTTGGAGAGCAGAGGTGGAAGGAGTGAGAAAGGTTGTGGGGAGCTGGGTCTGAGGGCAGAAGAGAAGCTGGAGACATTGGCAGGGAGCTCTGGTGCAGCTGCAAACCCCTCTATTTTCAGCTGGGGCTGGTTTGGTGCAGACCCTCTTGGAGCAGGGGGGTGGAAGGGATCCCTCCAGCTTTGAGGTGGAGAAGCAGCAGGTGCCACCTCTCCGCTTCCCTTTGCAGAGTTCTCACCCACGCAAGTCAGCGAAGGACCGACCACCAGGACCCTCACAGCCTCGGTACAGGATGGGGAAAGTAAGCTGCTCAGCTATCACTGCCTGAGGGCAGTGTCCCCTACGGTCACCCGCTGTCCCTCTTGAAGCCTCACAACCCTGCAGTCCTGAGGTGCAGACCCCCAAACCCCACCACTGGCCATGGCCACACCCTATCCCAGAAGTTCCCAAAGTTCCCAAACCCCATTGCTCTAAAGCTTCATTCCTTCCTTCTCTTTCTCACTCATTTCCTTTGCTATTACTGGCACAGCAAGGTCTGGGCCACCACATCCTTCTCACCTCGTGCTGCCACCCTCCAGGTGACGGCAGCATCCGCCTGGTGAGCGGCCCCGACACCTGCCAGGGCCGGGTGGAGATCTTCTACCGTGGGAACTGGGGCACGGTCTGCGACGACGACTGGGGCCTGAGCGATGCCAGCGTGGTCTGCAAGCAGCTGGGCTGTGGGCAAGCCCTGGATTACAAGAGCAATGCTTATTTTGGCTATGGAACAGGACGTATCCTCCTGGACAACGTCAACTGCGACGGCAGTGAGCCCTTCCTGTCTGCCTGCTACAGCCTCGGCTGGGGCATCCATAACTGCGGCCACCACGAGGATGCTGGGGTCATCTGTGCAGGTACCAGGCAGGGCACGGCCCTCAGGGTGGGGAAAAACCCAGGGACATCCTGTTCTCCAAGCAGAAACAGCCTCAGGGAAATGCTGAGATGCCCAAGGCTGGGCAGGGACTGGGCTCTGTGCTGTGGGAGTAGTATTGTTCTTTATCTGCCCTCATCCTGGTACTCTGGAGTAGCAGCCCCACACCAAGAGCCCGGGGCACAGCCAGGGTGGTGATTAGCAGGGGAAATGCATCTGCCATGCTGCCACTTCCCTCTGCCATTTCCCTGCTCTGCTGGCTGGAGAACAAGCTGCCCGCATCCGGAAGGAGGGAGCGGCTGCCAGGGGCTGGGCACCGTGCCAGGCCCAGCCTGCCTCCCCTTCCCCTCCTGAAATGATGTATTCCTGCCATTCTCCACTGATTACTGTTTATAATCTTAATAATCCCTCTGAATTCCCTCATTATCATGGCTAATGGCAGGAGCAGTAAGTTGCCAGTGCTTTCTCTTTCCCACTATTAATGGACAAAGGGGATGATGTAGGACAAAAGGGACGATTTTTTCAGGCTGGTCCTTTCCTTCCTAAACATGCCCATCCCCTCTGGGCACAGAGTTGATGGCACCATCACGCCCAAACCTTTCTCAGAGGGGCAGAGGATAGTGAAGCATAAATGGTAATGAATCCTGATGCTAAATCTCCCAGGTGTCACCTCTGTCCCTCTGTGTCACCACAGGACTGGACACATCCACCATCACATCATTCACCACCTCGGTGGCCCTGGACTCTGAGGAGACACTGACAGCCACGGCCACAGGTAGGATGTGAGTAGTCACTCATCTGAGGGGGGCAGCTGTGCCCTCTGTGTCCTTTTGTGACCCATCCTGGCCTCCCTGGGGCTCTGCCATGCGTGGGTGATGCTCGAGGGGTGACACTGCCCACGGCAGGGTCTTGCCAGGGGGCAGCCATGGTGCTGGTGGTCACTGGCACCAACTGAACAGGGGCAGAGGGTGCTGGATCTGGACCCCTCAATGCCCACATGTCCCCATGCTTGTCCCAGCAGTGACAGACAGCAGGGACCAGCCCTCCCAGGCCACCGAGGTGGTCACCACCACGCTCCTGACCATCGAGCAGGAAAGTAAGTATGTAGCTGCTGCTAGTCCTGCATGGGGCTCCACGTCCCTGGGGGAGTCACTCCACATCCCCAGAGCTCACCCCATGCCCCCAGAGCTCCTTCTATGTCCCCAAAGGTCACCTCATGTTCCAAGTGCTCAATCCATGCCCCAGGAATTACCTCACACCCCCAGGGCTCACATTGCGTCCCCGAGATTTACTCCATGCTCACAGGGTGTTCACCCCGTGACACTCAAGGGTTCATCCCACATCTCCAGGGATTGCTTCATGCTGACAGTGCTCACCCCATGCTGCTTGGGAATCACCCCATTGTACTCAGTGTCACCCACATCACCAGGACTCACCCAAGGGCTCAGCTGGCCCCCATAACCCAGAGACTCACCCCACACCCAAACGAGTTTGCCCCACATCCCCAGGGAGTTGCACCCATATCCCCAGGGGTTACCCCAGAAACCAGGGGCTCACCCCACACCCTTGGAGGGCCAGCAGGGGCCACCGGACCCCCTTGTGGAGCCCTGGTCCCCTCGGCGTCGCGCCACGCAGGTGGCGGCTTGCGGCTGGCGAACGGGAACGGGAGCTGCCGCGGGCGGGTGGAGGTGCGGCACCGCGGCACCTGGGGCACCGTCTGCGACGACGACTGGGACTTCCCCGACGCCCAGGTGGTTTGCCGGCAGCTGGGCTGCGGCAGCGCCCTCGCCGCCACCGTGCTGGGCTCCTTCGGCTACGGCAGCGGGCCCGTGCTGCTGGACAACGTGGGATGCGGCGGCGGCGAGGCGCGCCTGGCCGACTGCTTCCACCTGGGCTGGGGACAGCACAACTGCGGCCACCACGAGGACGCCGGGGTCATCTGCCGAGGTCTGTGAGAAGGGGGTCTGTGGGTCTCCGCTGAAGCCCAGCTCAGTGGGGAAGTCAATGAGAGAATGGATGTAAGGGAGGATTTCGGCTGGCTGTGGGAAATGGGGTCTCCCAAATGGGGCTGGGGGTGAAGAATGAGCCCCCACAGCCCAGGGTTTCTCCCGCACATGGGGACAGCAGCAGCAGTCGGTGCATGGTGGGGTGATGGCTGAAGTGTGGCACCACCTCTGGTCCCCATTTGTGCATAGTGGCTGCACATCCCACCCCATATCCTGCAGCCATCCCACACCACTGCTGGGGGGCTCTGCCCCAACCCTGTCCCTTGAGTCACTTTTCCCACCTCTCCTCCACTGCACCAGGTGCTGATGACACTGAAGACCATTTCCAAGAGGCCACTGCTACAACCACCACATTGGCCCCAACTCGTCCCAAGGAGGGTAAGTACTGGGGTGTCACCTGGGGCCACAGTGCCAGCCCTGGCTCAAGCAGAGGCACAAGATCTGGCAGTGCCCGGAGCAGCCCATGGGAGGGGAAAAACTGGTGACACTGTTAAGTCACAGCCTCTCCTGGTGCCCCCAAGGCTAGTTCAGGCAGAGGTGATGGACCATTGATTGATGGACCTCAGGGTGGGGAGAGGAGGTGATGGACCCTTTGGGCAGAGCTGGGAACAGAGGTGATTTTTCCTCCAACTGAACATCCACCACGATGCTCTGAGGGTCACCCCCAGCTCTGGCGAGGGGGCACCCCCACTCCTGGCTGTGCAAAGGCAGTGGGGGAGCTCTGGGCTGACCCCAGGGCAGGCAGGGAGAGGGGTACACAGCACTGGGGTGGGCATGGGCAGGGGCTGCCTCACCCCTTTCCCTCCCCAGGGTCCTTGCGCCTGGTGAACGGCAGCCACCGGTGCGAGGGGCGCGTGGAGATGTTCTACCTGTCCCAGTGGGGCACGGTGTGCGACGACGCCTGGGACCTGCGGGATGCCAAGGTGGTGTGCAGGCAGCTGGGCTGTGGGCACGCCCTGGCAGCCTGGGGGGAGGCACACTATGGCCAAGGCACCGGCTACATCTTCCTCGACAACCTCAAGTGCAAGGGCCACGAGCCCTCGCTGCTGCGCTGCTCCCACATCCGCTGGGACGTCCACAACTGCGACCACTCCGAGGATGCCGGTGCTGTCTGTGACATCCTATGACCCTCCCGCAGGTAAGGGGACACAGGGATGCTGGTGGCAATGCCACAGAGAGGGGTTGAACCCTTGCTGCTGGTCTGGACACACTCCTTGCACTGGCCCTGTGGATGTTTGGGCTCTGAGGATGGGAGGAGTTGGGTGAGGACTGGGTTCTCCTCAGCTCCTGAAATAGTGGCTGAAGAAAAACACCCTCCCCCCCACCCCCAGACTGCTCCTTGAAAAAACAAAAATGCTTCTGGTGTGAAATCTGGTTGGTTTCAGCCATCTCTTTTAAGAGATGAGGAAAGAAAAATGGATTTTCTGCTGTGAAAATTATGTTAAATTATACTCAGAAAATGTAAAAAAGAGGCTGAAATCACACCAGGATGCTCCAGTGGCTCTGCAGTGAGTTACTGTTGTTCTGCAATTTGCTTTGCAAGCCCTTCAGCAATCCCAATACCAGCTTTTTCTTCCCATTTTGGCATCAGAAATACCAATTCCTCCCCCATTCCCATGCAGCAGAAATGCAGGCGTTGGATCTCTCGCCATCTGCAATCCTCGTGCCTGTTTCACCTGTCCTTTCTGCAAACACTGTGGGGTTTAGGAGAGCTCAGATGAGATTTCCCTTCCTGGGGGGCTTCAGCACAGCCAGTCCATGCCCAAAAAATCTCCTGGGGAGTGGGAAGGGATGGAGATACCCTGCAGTCCCCCCATCCTCCTCCATCCTGTGCCATACAGACGTGCTGCCTTTGGCTGCTCCCAAAAGCTCCACGCTCTGAGGTGCCCAGGGCAGGCAGGGAGCTGGCAGATGGGACACAAGCAGATGGAAAACCATAGGGAAGACCCCAAATCCCTTCCCAGAGCAAAGGAAGGGACCCAGCAGCCTGCTCCTTTCCCAGTGCCCTGCCTTTGGGGTATAAAAGCTGTTTTCCTCCAGCTCAGGTGGAGAGACCCAGCCTGCAGCACCAGTCACCTTCGCCACCAAGTGTTTGATTCCTACTGGGACATTGGGAAAATGACTTCCCTGTTCTCATGGATGGGTTCAAGGGTGGGGAAGGGCTCGGACAGTGGCACAGAGCTCACTTCTCTGTTTGTGCAATTCATTTGTTGATAAGAGACTGCATATTCCTGGGCTGTTTTTTTTTTTCATTTTCCATTTTTTTTTCTTATATGTGTGTGGGTTTGTTTTTGTGAATACATAAAAGCCCTTTGAAAGTGCTCTGAGAGCTGACTTGTTTTTCTGTCATCCCCTCAAATCCCTGGGTAAAAGCAAACACCTGGAGAAGAGCCCCAAACCTGGAGGAGAGAGCTCAGTTCTTGGTGCCAAAAATTGACCCAAATCCCTGGCTTAAAATGCTCAAGCAGCCTTTAATTCCCACCCAGCTGAGAGCTCAGCTTGGACCTTTCTCCACCCCAGCTCTGGGTACAATCCTGAAGCCCACCAGGCTTAGGGGATGAGGGTGGGTCCAGCTTTGGGTTTGTTCCCAGTGGGATTTGGCAGTCCTGTGAGCTGTGGGATGGCCCTGACCCCATAGCCAGGCTCCTGTTGGCTCCTCTTCCACTCCCCATGGACAGAGCTTTCTCAGCACTTTGATCCCAGTCCAGATGTCCATCAGGGAGGAAACTGAGGCATGGAAGCATCTTCCAGGCAGGCTGTGGCAGCACAGCTGGACAAGGGCCTGGGAGAGGGCAGGGAGGTGGTGTGGGAACCAAATCCTCCTTTCCCTGCGCTCCCTCCTCCTGCACACTCCACTGCCCCCTCACTTCCCGTCTTGCCTGCTGCCTGCAGGACAGCTGGGCAATGCTTGGGTCCTGCTGGGAGCAGGAGGGGGACAGAGCTGTCCCCAGCAGCCCATGCCAGCTGGGGATGGCTCAGAGGGCGCTCTGGGTTCCTCCAGCTTTGCCATCCCGTCCTTGTGCTATGGGAGATGGGAGAGGGGCTGGTGGCCAGGAGCTGCTCTGGAAGCTGCTGCCTCTTGGGGTGTCACAGGGAGGAAAATAAGAAAGGCTGGATGGGTTTTCCTTGTTTTTCTTGGGGACTATGCCTTGAGCTGGCAAAGCTGGGCTGTGTTTTGGTTTTACTTCGCACCCTGCTCTTCTTGGCTTTGAGCTGGGAAGAGCAAGTCCTGCTATCCCAGAATTTCTCCCTTTCGCAGCCTACAACCCAGCAAGCAAAGGGTTTCCAGCCAGGAAAGGCAGCAGCTGCCTCCTTTCTTCCAGCCTTTTCTCCTGCAGCCAGCTTGGGATGGGCTGAGATCCACAGGGATCCCCCCAGACACTCCACAGCCGAGCTGGACATCATCTCCTGTTCCTCTGGGAGCAGGGAATGGCAGCAGGGCAGGAGCAGAGTACCAGCGAGAGGATGCCCTGGGGCAAGGAACAGGGCATGGAGGGTGCCCTGGTTCTGCAGCAAGGGGCAGCAGCACAGGGGATGCTCTGGAGCTCAGCAGCAGCACAGGGAATGCTCTGGAGCTCAGCAGCAGCACAGGGAATGCTCTGGAGCTCAGTAACAGCACAGGGGATGCTCTGGAGCTCAGCAGCAGCACAGGGGATGCTCTGGAGCTCAGCAGCAGCACAGGGGATGCTCTGGAGCTCAGCAGCAGCACAGGGGATGCTCTGGAGCTCAGCAGCAGCACAGGGGATGCTCTGGAGCTGGGTACCACTGCAGGAGGTTCCAAGGGTGTGAGAGCATCCCACCACGGGAGCATGGCCAGGCTGCAGCGGCTGTGGGAGCCGGGATAAGCCGGGCTAAGCCGAGCCCCTGCCCAGTTCCCATCCTCCTGCCGACGTCAGCTGTTTCCCGGCGCCCAGAACAGCTGCAGCTCCACACTGGTCGATGTCATCGATTAGTTCCTCTCCCCATCCCTGGAGAGAGGATGGTGTGGGGGGTAGCAGGGAGGAGAGAATAAATATTTCAGCAGGTCCAGGCAAAAGCTGGGGTTATTTTGAGGCTGGGATTTATGGGCTATTAGGAATAAGGAATGAGTCTGTGCTGGGAGAAGAGACCCATTAATCCAGGCTGAAGGAGCACAAATGAGCAAGGGGAAATGGAGGAGGCTTTAATTATTTTGCCACGATCTGGAATAATGAGCTGGCCTCTGGCTGGGGGCTGGTGTGAGGTTCAGGAGCTCTGCTGCCCGGGAACTGGGGCAGGTGAGGGGACACTCGTGATTAAATCCCCCAGCTGTGCTTTAAGGGATGGGCAATCCATTCTGGGACCAGTATCAGACCAGTACAAGCAGTGCTTCTGGCTGGGACGAGCTGGAGGATGCCCTGCTTGTGGGGGGAGGCTGCAGCCTGCAGGGACGGCAGGAGGGGCCCGTGGGTCGGTGCCCGGTCCCAGGGGTGCCCTTCCCGGGCTGGGCCAGCCGTGCCACCGCCGTGCCCCATTAAGGCAATCCCTGTGCCTGTAACCGGAGGAGCCGGGCGCTATCCGGGCAGGGTGAGTCAGTGCTGGAGGCAGCCCTGGGCCGGGAGCATCCCTGGGCCGGGAGCATCCCTGCTCTGCTGCTCCCCGCACCACCTGGGTGACCTTGGGCTTGTTCTCCGGCTCCCTGTGCCCTCCGTGCTGCCTCAGTTTCCTTGGGGGACACGTGGAGGGTGGTCCTGCCTCACCCCTTGACACCCTCGGGGAGCTGCAGGGACGCACCCAGCCTGGCTGGAGGGGCATTCCTCAGCCCGTGGGGACACAGATTTGCCCCCCTCGGGCCAACCTGCCCCACCTTACAGCCAGAGGCGCTTGGAAGGCGAACACCCACGCGGCAAGGATGCGGAGCACGGACATCCTCGGAGCACCTCCTCCTCCGAACGAGGAGCTGAGCTCCCTGCGGCATCCCTGCGGCACTGCCAGCCCTGTTCGCTTGCGAGGTGGCCCCGGGTGCCAAGGTCACCCAGCGGGGGCCGCTCGGCGGGTGGGGACCGGCAGCGCTCGGTGCCTCCGCCGGGCCTGCCGCCGCGGCTCCCGCTGACGTCAGCCGCCGGAGCCGGCAGCTATTTTGGGAACTGCAAAGTCACCGGTGCTATTAGTCGGCTGGCAAAGGCAGCGGGGGGACCGCGGGCACGGCTGCTCCCCGCGCCGCGCCGCGCCGTGCCGTGCCGGGGGATGCGCGGGCACCGCCAGCTTCCCTGCGCCCGCAGGCTCCTTCCAGCAGGACAAACTGCAAATCCTCTCATCCATCATTTCCTTCTCTCTGCCTTTTTTTTTTCCTTTTTTTTTTTTCTTTATATATTTAATTTGATGTCGCTCCCTGGCAGGAGCCGCCCCACGCGTGCTGCTGAGCCAGCTCGCTGTCCTCGCTGGCAGGGGGGGATTTTCTGCGATGCCGCGGCCCAGGGGCTGCCCCCGGCTATTCCCGGGTGCTCTGCTGCCAGCTGGGTGTTTGTTTTAATCCGCTCTGCATCCTCCGGGACGCTGCCACCACAATGCCCTGTCAGCCCCACGGCAGTGTGGATGGGCTGCTGTGACAGGGGAGGGACACCCGGCCCCGGGGCACGGCACGGAGAGGTGGCGATCTGCCACGCAGTGTCCTTGAGCCCGGGGATGTGGGGACAGTCAGAGGGGACAGCTGGGGTTCTAATCCCCCCGCCCACCCTCCTCACTTCCCGGTAACATCCCGGTCATTGCCAGAGATGTGTACAAAAAGGCTGATCATGGCAGGCTCCAAACACCCCAAAAGTGAGGCTCAAGAAATCCTCTAAAAAAATCTCCAGACTGTTCTATGTGACCTGACATCTCTTTCAGTCCCATCCCCTAGAAAAAAAAAAACACCCCAAATCCTTTCTCCCAATGCCTGGAGAGGTGCCATAGCAGGAGCTGCTCAGCTCCCCTGATTCCATATGGGGCTTTGGGCGGGAAGGATCCACATGGATCCCTGGGCATAGGAGAGGTGATGGGCGCTTGGAGAGTGACCCCACCCTGCTCTCCATTGCAGTGACCCCCCCCTGCTCTCCATTGCAGTGACCCCCCCCTGCTCTCCATTGCAGTGACCCCACCCTGCTCTCCATTGCAGTGACCCCAGCCTCTCTCCATTGCAGTGACCCCACCCTGCTCTCCATTGCAGTGTGACCCCACCCTGCTCTCCATTGCAGTGACCCCCCCTGCTCTCCATTGCAGTGACCCCCCCTGCTCTCTATTGCAGTGACCCCACCCTGCTCTCCATTGCAGTGACCCCACCCTGCTCTCCATCGCTCGGAGCCCCGATTTGCCCCTGGAGGAGGGGTCCCTGCCAGTGCTGCGGCTGGAGGAGCCGCTGGAGGAGCCTCTGGGGGTCCTGGGGTGGGGACAGACAGCGATGGGTGGCACCGTGGGGTGGCTCTGGGGTGCCAGGGGCTGCGGGAGGGCAGGGGGAAGGTGGGGAGCGTGTGTTCCCCCCGGGCTGGGGGAAGGGGCCGGGCGGTGGGGCTGGAGGGTGAGGCTGTGCTGAGTCACACTGCAGAGCTGCGAGCAGGACTGCAGCGAGCTGTGACAGCCCTGTCCCTCCGCCTCCGGCTCCTGCCTCCTCCCGGGGGCCGGGATGCTGCTGGGCTTGATGTCTCCAGGTTAGGGGGTCCCGCTGCTCCCCTGGTCGTGGCTGTGTCGAAGTTCCCAACCCTGCTTGCCCCTGCCCTTCATTTGGGATGGGGCTGCCCCAGGATGGGGCTCCTGGAGTTCCTGAGCAGGGAGAGGGGAGGACTGAGCTGTCCTTGGGGGATGAGTGTCCCCCAAGTGCAGGAGGGGTGTCCCTGGGTGGCTGTGACATGGGGACAGCAAGGCCCAGGGGTCACTCGCTGCCAGCACAAACACAAAAAGGTGCTCAGCAGCCACTAGAACACAGGGCAGCTTTCCCCTGGCATGAGTGGGGTGGGGTGGTGAGTGGGCAGAGATCCCCCCCAGCTCCTACCCGACACCACCAACCCAGCACACAGAGCAGAGCATCCACCCCTGCTACCACACAGGAGAAAGGCTGAGGCGGGTCCCTGCTGCAGAGGGAAACTGAGGCACGGGCTGTGCCCCAGATACTGCCACCTCTCAGGCTCAGAGTGGGGACAGCCCTGTCCCCACAGGATGCTGGTGAGCACCTTGCCTGGTGCTGCCTACCAGCCCCACAGAGCTCCGAGACAGGCAGAGCTTTTTTTAGGTGCTCCGTAAGTGCCGTCTGGGCGGTATTTATATCGGCTCCTTAAATAAGAGCTGCCATCTGAGCCTGACGAGCCTGCTTAATTATTAATGCCCCGCAGGG